GCCGAGAATTCTGTGCTGTTCTGTGCCTACGGTTTCTGTCAGCAAACGGTGTGTTATGTGAGACAAACGCAAACCTGTACTCCCATTGATAACGCAATGGCAGGTCTGTCCACTCCATGTCTCTGTCCGCTCTCTAGCAGTTCCTGTTTATATACCTGTTGTCCGCAAACTTGTTGTCCATTTATTTTTTTATTTTTTTTACTAATGATAAGTTTTTTTGTGTGATATTTAGGATTTTTTGCCGCATTTTTCTCGTCATTCACGTTATGTCCGACAGAACTAATAAAATGCAAATTACAGGCACTCAGGGAAACAGGAGTCGTCACTAATATGTATGTTAACTAATAATTATCATTCAATCAATACTATATCTCATCTAATAATATGTATTGTCTTTTAATGATCTGATCAGTGGTTCCGTTCAATTGACGCGACAGATACTACGCGACGAAGGTTTGCATCGATTGAAATCTATTACTTTATATTAAATGATAATTAAAATGCAATTTAATGTACATTTTGCAGGCATTCCCGGTATGTTTAGGGGTCTGTCCTCTACGATGGCCCGCGAAATGCCCGGATATTTCTGCTTCTTTGGCGGCTATGAGTTGGCGAAGAATGTGTTGCGAAAGGATCCCGAAGAACAGAATATAGGTATTTGAGTGTGACTTGAAGTTGAGGTTCATATCTGTGATTGACATGAGTTGTGAATTGATGTTAGGGTTAGTGAAGACGATACTCGCGGGCGGATTCGGTGGCATCTGTTTGTGGACTTCGATCTTCCCGTTCGATGTCGTCAAGTCTCGCATTCAGATCGAGTCGAGTCGCGACAAATTGGTTACTGTTTTGATGCGAATCGTGCGGACAGAGGGTGTGAGGGGTCTGTACAGCGGTCTGACGCCCACTCTATTGCGGACATTCCCCTCAACCGGCGCTCTCTTCGTCGCCTACGAGTACACGAAGGAAACGCTGACAGCAGTTGTCGACAAAACGCTTTAACTTTAATTAGGATTAGATTTAAATCATTATTTTTATTAAAACGTTTAATATATGACATTATTTTAAACTATAGTTACATTTATATATAAATGAATGGAAATGTATTTTTCTATTTTAGATTCTGTTTGTAGTATTGTATTGAGAGTTGTTTTACTATTTTATAAGTATTTAATTAATTATATTAAATGAATGGCAATATATTACAATAATAAACATCTATTTGTTTTAACCACTGTTTGAAACTTTATTACAAATTCAAACAATTTTATTGTTAAGCACTCTATTCACAAATACACAAATTTTCAAATTATTTCTTCAACTTTGACTCTACACCAAAAATGTTAATTTTATACTAAAAATTAATTCTTTTTTAGGTTCAGTCATATTCTGGAAATGTTTTGAACCAAGAATTTTCCTCAACTCTGACTGTACGCCAAAAAGTGTTTAGTTTTATACTAAAAATGAATGCTTTTTGAGGTTCAGTCATATTCTGGAAATGTTTTGAACCAAGAATTTTCCTCAATTCTGACTATAAGAAAGTTTCTGAACTTTACATAATTTGTATTTTATATTTTATCAATTTGTATACATTTTACTCGAGTTTAAGTATATTCTTAAATTATGTTTTATTAATTTACTGAAAAAATTAATTATTTACAAAATGACCAAAAAATTTTAGAAAGATACATTATCGAAATTATATGATAATTTATTAATAGTTACAAAAATTGTATAAAAATTTCAATTAGTTCTTCAATATTCAATTTATCTGATTGAGAATATAAGGCAATAATTTTGGATGATTTCCTAGCGTTGAGGCATTGGATCACTGATTAATGTGATATCAAATGAATGTTCATTTCTAAAACACTGTATATTGAATGCCATAAGAGTCTTATGATAAGACATCACTTCTTTATGCAAATCCCAGTTGTGGTCACAACTCATGCCTCGAAGTGAACCCCATTCGCGACACTAAACTCAGACTCAGATTCTGTACACAAAAAAACTAATTAAAAAAATTGCTGAAAACTGTTACCAAAAAACATAACTATTATTGAATTGAATGCAAGAATTAGTGCACAAAATGTCTCGAGAAGTGAATTGTTGTCACCATTTATTTCAAATCATTCTTTCGTTAAGTGTTTAGAGATTTGAACGCAAAAAGTCGGACAATATTTACCACAACTCACACAACAGATAATTGTCACCAAACGGTTCCCAAACAGTTGGAAGACATGTTCGCATTCACTCATTCCATCACTAATTGGTTGGTATTTAATCTCATTATCACTTCAAACACACCAATCATTGTTTAATCTCTTTTGCCAATCAAACAGTCCATCGATGGTAACAGCGATTCCGATCGTAGGGTTCGGGTTGTGGTCGTGGAGGAGGCGTACGGCCGCCCAGTCATCGGCGCAACAC